ACCTTTTACAAAATTAACTACACCTGCATATAGTTCCGATTTTGTTTTCTTCTGGTATATGTCCGTATAACAACTTTTTACGTTTTAAAAAATAAACCTTTAACATTTTAATTAGGAAGGTAATACTTACGATACCAAAAGCCTGGTGATAACAACTTTGTAATGGGTCCCTTAAACTCTTTAAAATTAACAATCCCTCTGTACAAAGCGTCTCTTTGAAGTGCCAGTTGCAGATCCTCAGCACCTGCGTCAGTTCGCTTTTGAGTAGTGTTGCAAAGTAACCAATAAGTAAAAACTCTGTTAACCAATACCTAAACGAAAACAACAGACACACGTAGCCTCTGCTTAATACCCGACCATCTATAATTTCTATTGTTTTGTTGGTTTTACGTAGTGTGCTGTCTCCTATGCTCTGTCTCAATCACACCCACTCCGCCTCTCTATCTCTCCCTCTCGCTCTGTCCCTTGAAAAGTACTTACCAACCCTGCGCCGTATTTGCAAGTCACCCAACACTGGCACACTCACCCACACAGCGTCACACTCGATCACATCCACATGTTTCTTTGTATCGTAGTTAGTGCTGACTTTCCGGTTGCTCTTTGACACGTACTCGACTTGTCCGCATTTTATGTTTTTACCACTGATCGAGGTCTCTCTCTTGCAGCCGAACGAAGCACTCCCGAATCTCCAGACCCTAAAGGGTTCCAAGTCGAGCTTGTTCATGGGCTCAACTCTATTCGGTTTCGATCACTTAGCTTCCGGAGACAAGGACAAGGAGGATAAGGGTGGCAAGGACAAGGAGAAAACGCCCACCGAGGAGACCAATCGCAAGTTGCCCATCATCAATCCTCTGGTGCGACTACCCAATTGGCCAAGTAAGGATCATTCAAAAATGAGGATCATTTTCCTTTTTTCCATTTGGTTTTCTTCCATTTTCTAAATGTTCTTTATTCTACAGACCTTGCCAATGGCGGTGGCTTCATATCCAAATGTCTCTTGGCCAATGCCGATACCCTTTGCGCCGCTGTCAGCCCTCTAATGGATCCGGATGAGACCCTCCTGGCCGGCTACCATGAAAAATGCGTGATGAACAACTACTTTGGCATCGGCATCGATGCCAAGATCTCGCTGGACTTCCACAACAAACGAGAAGAGCACCCAGAAAAGTGTCGCTCCCGAGCTCGAAACTACATGTGGTATGGAGTGTTGGGATCCAAGCAGCTCCTGCAAAAGACCTGCAAGAACCTGGAGCAGCGTGTTCAGTTGGAGTGCGACGGTCAGAGAATTCCACTGCCGGAACTCCAGGGAATCGTGATTCTGAACATACCCAGCTTCATGGGTGGCACCAATTTCTGGGGCAGCAGCAAGAAAGATGATATATTCCTGCCGCCTAGCTTTGATGATCGTGTCCTAGAAGTGGTAGCTGTCTTTGGATCCGTACAGATGGCCGCCTCACGACTGATCAATCTACAACACCACCGGATCGCCCAGTGCCAGAGCGTCCAGATCAACATCCTGGGAGACGAGGAGATACCCATACAGGTGGATGGCGAGGCTTGGTTGCAACCCCCTGGAATGATTCGTATTTTGCACAAGAACCGAGTGCAGATGTTGTGCCGTAACAGGAGCTTGGAGCTGTCCTTAAAGAGTTGGCAGGAGAAGCAGCGCCAGCACAGCATCTCCATCCAAAGGGATGCATCTTCCACAGCTTCAGAGCATGCGGTCTCCACCGACGACGTAATCTCCGAACGCGAATGCTATGTACTGCTTAACTTCATCGAGGCCGTTAGCTCATTGGTCAAGTGGGTCAAGTTCCTGATCATCTCCCATCCAGCTTTGCAACACGATCTCTACGAGGTGGCCTGCCGGGCCAGTGAAGCTCTGGAATCCATCCATCCGCAGGGCAAGCTACTCGAAGGTCCTTCGCTGCGCACCAAGCTGGTGGAGGTCATCGACTCATCGCGGCAGCTCTATGACGATGCATGTACCTTGCTCCGCGATCGCGGTCATAGTTTAATTCTCCGCGAGGATCTGGAGACGAAGCTTAGCGCAGCCTTGGCCAACATGGAGATGGAACTTAAGAAGTGCTCTGTACAAAAGTGCATTGATGGTAAGCTGCGAGCCTACTTTAATGTTTTGGCGCCCAACGAAGAGGTAAGTGGATTCATCTATCGTTTATAAATCTTCTAAAATTTAAAAATATTTTCTTTTTTTGCAGTCCGATGGACGGCGTAAGTCTCGACCATTCTGGGTGAGACTCCGTTCAGGATCTACCGCCGGCCAGCAGGCCTTTAAGCCTCCTTTAACCAACACTCGCGAGGCGGCCAACAACTGGAGCGTCAACGAGGTGGTCACCTGGCTGGAAACGATGCAGCTTTCCGAGTACGTGGACAGCTTCCTGAAGAACGACATTCGCGGCAAGGAGCTGCTGACTTTGGGAAGGCGCGATCTGAAGGATCTAGGCGTGGTCAAGGTGGGCCACGTGAAGCGTATACTGCAGGCCATCAAGGATCTCAGCGAGAATTAGGCTTCCCTGAGAATCTTCTACCGGCTAGTACAAAGAAATCAGTCTTCGAATCGCGCTCTTAGAGATGAATGGGGGGAATATATTGAGTTGTAAGCGATCATTGGAAATGTTAAGTTAATGTGGGACAAAAATGCATACAACAATCACTAATTTATAGGCTAGCTTAGCTAACATGTCAGATGGACGAGGGAACGGATTGAGAAAATACTTCAAATTGGAATCATTCGATGAACACGACGATAACACGAGCGATACTCTTCACATACTTAGGCCTAACTGACTTACTCTCCGATAAATTATCTCGATTTACAAACTTTTAGTTGGCAGAGAATTGTACATTTTTTTAGCTCTTAGCCATGCAAAATCGAGACAAAATGATAAGCACTAAAAATTGATTTTGGTTTTTCGTATACGTATGTTAATGAGACAAACAACCACTACGAATTGGCAGTTAAACGAATTTAAACGTAGTAACACCTGCGAATTCTAAACAAACCCGATAACTGCAGTTAGATATTAAGTGTTTAACCTTCAACTTACGCTTATATTAAAGAAATCCAAGAACCCAGTCCCAAGGAAAACTAATGAATCCAATTTAACAACGCAAATAACCGACTCACCCGATGATAAAACATGAAATCGATTCTAAATTTATAAGCAATTTAAATTTTACAAAAACTAAACAAAAACAAAAAAACCTGCAGACCCAAACCAATCCAAACATTATAATAATTGTACTTATACATATACTTAAAAAGAGATATTCGAAACTATATTTAAATGTTTCCCCCACTATTGTTAAATCGAAAGGATGCTAACATTATGTTAATGCAATTCCCGCAATTGCGGCAAAGAAAAGTCTGTTAAACGTGTCATTTTTGTGGTAACCAAAAGCAACTCTAACTTGTTTATTTAAATGAATTTAGTTATTAAGTCCGTGACGTTTTTTCAACATAAGCTTAGGTTAGAACCTTGGGGCCCCGGTGCCGGATGCTGGGCTCCCCCAAAAAATTTATTTGGTACTATATACAAGCATATGGTATAATCTTAGCTAGCATTGGAACACGGAACTTCGGTGTTCGGAACCTTTTTGGTAAATCCTTTTAATTGTTTAAATTTAAGCGAATCCAAATGAAAACCAACCACTTTTATCAAAACATTAAAAAGTGTTAGGAACAAAATTGTGCTAAATTTTTTATAAACGTCAACTTTCAATTTGATCAATTATGTTACTATCTCTATCTATCTTCTATCTAAATACGAACATATAAATATAGCTGCATATGAGTAGGTTTAGCAGTCCACTGACCTATATGTTTTGGCCCATATTCAAATGTTTGCTCAAGTTGCCTCCAGTTGAGTGAGTTTTTGAAATGGCACTGCGGTAGGCGAGTTTAGTCTATAACAAATCACTTGAGCTACGTCTATAAATTATATTTTTTGATATATAAGTATAAATGAGCCCAGACCAACTCGATTGATTTGTTGTGATCCTGCCACGATCCTAACTTTCAAACAGCACCAGTAGCAACCCTATAATTTCGAAATATTTTGACACATATTTGAGAAACTATTTACGCTTATGAGTAACCTAGATAAAACCAAATATAAAATTATGAAAATCGATAATTGGAAAACCTTTTACATAACAAAAATAAAACAAAAACGATAAATTCAAAGTTAAAAATTGAAGACACATTTTTTCGAAAATTTTTCGACACATGTATTTTCGAGCAAACTTTAATGTAATTAAAACGAAAATTAAACAAAATCATATGATAATTAATCGAATGTATAGTTTAAATGTTTAAAGCAAAAATCTTATCGGCAATTCACATTCCCACAAAAAGTATAAATTTCATTATTTTCTCCATATTAGTCACCTCTTTTCATATACCCTTCATTGATTTTATTTTAGTTTTTCAAAAAACTGTGATAACAGCTTTCTATATATTCCTGTAATAAAAATCTACAAAGATCAACAAATAATAAGTAAATAACGTATGAAATTCGTGAAGTGCAATGAAAAATCAACTGTAAAGTCTTATAAATAGTTCGTCTACAATCAGTAAATAGGTAATGCCTATGAAAACCATTTACCAGCAATAAATGTTTTACAATATATCTTAATAATGTAATTTCAAACTTACTACTTCCCAAAACATAAAAAAAAAACTAGAAAATGTAAAGAAAAAACTATCTGTGCAAAACTCTCCAAATAAAAACGGAAAACCGATAATACCGTTAAGTGAAAAGCAAACCATAAAGCAACAATATTTCCTACTAAACATAACACAACAATTATAATAGAAAACATTTTCTTTAAGAAAACCCTAATAACAGCAATAATAAAAACAAAACAAAAACAAAAATTGGTTTTATTTTTAAAATAGATGGAAAGAGGGTTTATTTTCAGTGAACCCAACATCATTCCACGCTAATTTCCAGATCAAAAACATAGTTTTTAAAACGTTTATATGCATTTTTCATTTATTCGATTCATACAATGTTATAATCATTTTACCATCACTTGTTTTTTGGTTTCTATTTCATTATTTCAATTAGTTCTCTTCCATATGATTCGGCCACTTTTTTCCAAAGAACTTTTATAATTATATTATATCGTGTTATTTAGCATTTCTATGAAGGCTATTTGGTGTGCCTTTTTATGACAATTCAGAAAAAATTATCAATCGGGTTGTATCGTTATTGATTTTATTGCATTTCATATGAGGCTTCTTTAATTCATTAAAATTTTAGGCGCATTTGGGCGTGAAAGTCAACTTTTAAAATTTTTTAATTGATTGGTGTCCTTTTTTATAATATTTTGCCTTTGTGAGTGAACCGAAAATGGAAAATATTTATTTTTTGACTTTCATATAAGTGTTTATAAAAATCGATTCTTTCTTTTCATTCTTTTTTTTTGTTTGTTTTGAAGAAAAAGCCTTTGAGTGCGCCTATTTTGGAATCAGTTTGGGGTATAATTGGTTTAGGTTTTCATTTTTTTTCTGTCTTATTAATCATTTCATATCCTTTTGTAAACAAGCTAGAATATATATCAAGTTCGTTCTTAAGTAGATTCATATTAAAGTTGCCTAAAATTTGTTAAGTACGATATTTAAAACTAAATGAGTTCAAGAGTCTACCATTCGGTTGTGTTATCATTTTCTGTTTTCCTTTTGTCAAACTGTAACTGGAAATATAGTTCTGTAATGTGTATGTGAGTGTGTGCATTTCCTGTTTGTTTCGTTAAGTTTTTAGGTTTTAGAGTTTAGAGATTGCCAGAGTTTAGTTAGTTTTCGCTTATTTTTTATTTCTAACTAATGCATTTGACTGGGTCGAATCGGTGACAATTCTAAGACTGAGCGTACATAATAAACAATTTGTGTTCTCGGGGGCACTTGTTAATATGCATTATAATTGGTAACTATTTATAAGATTCAGTGATCAACTCATCGAATTCAACTAACAAACGGGTCCATTCATGAAAAACATATAAAAAATACTCAACTGTTTAATAAATACCATTGAAGTGGCGTTATTTTCCTTCATTTTTTTGTTATGTTTATTTTTGTTTTATATTAAAATATATAGAGGCAAGCAACAATTAAGCTCAATACTGAAGTTAATCACACAACATATGGGTAATGAAATTTTAACTTCAGCTTACACGATTTTGTGTTTGTTTTTCTGTAGTTTCTTAGAGAGGTTTTAACATTCAAGCATTTGACCTACGCGAAAGAAATGATGCTGCCAAACTGAGCTTAAACTGGTACTTAGTTTGTACTGAAACACTGTCTACACTGAGAGGTATGAAGAACAAAATGCAACAAAATGCTTTTCAAAACTCACTTCAACTTTCTCAAAGCTATTGCCCTTCGGGAAGCATTTGTCTTTATCAGTTTAGCGCTAACTTTACTCAAAACATGATTTAATCGATAAGGTATATCCATTTTGTTTGATCATTTGGTTTCCATTTTTGTTTCTCGACTATTTTCACATACACGTAGTAGTTTATATAAGAAATGTAGGCATGTCTGAAACTAGTTTCACAGCTTTTCAAAGCATAATCTCATTTTTCAGTTTTCTTGTGTGTAGTTTTAATATGTTTTGCTTGTGTTTTTTGTTTTCTGTTTACTGTTTAATGTTGCTTTGTTTTAACCATCATTTGCCTTAAGTTTTTATTAGCCAAAATGTATCTTAAATTATTCTTAACATCATGTTGTCGTATTTGGTATATTCCCTTTTGTAATTCATGTGCAAAATCTATTATCAACTTTTGGTATTTGACGGATCAGCGGTTTAGCTAAGATCACCTTATGCATTACCCAAAATATACGGCTTGGTTGCTCAACTAATGAAAGTTACAAAAATGTGAGTATATCTCTTTTCGAATGGCCTCACTTTTTGGACGGGTCTTTGCGGTGATGTTTGTCCCATTTAAGTATTTGTTTTTCTTTTCTTTATGATTGAATGATTTCGAAATATTGCAAGTCCTCTGGGTTATTTTCAAAGTATACAACATTGGTTTGATTTTGTTTTCGGTTCGGGTAGAGGCAGTGAAAGTGTCTTACATAAATTAATTTCTCGTGTAATGCTCGTGTCGTTAGATGACATTTGGCCTGATTAGATTTGCTTGCAGCAGTTTAAATAGGAAAACCAAAAGCGAATTTAGGTTTAGATTCAAGCCAAGTCGAATAGGACTTTCCTTATATCCTGATTTCATTGCAACATAGTTTTCCATCAATTTTTTAGAACAATTTAAAATGTTTAACAAAATACATTTCATCCTAAATAATTTTAAATATATTTTTGAACAAAATACATTTGATATTTGGGTTGTTTATAACACAAAAAGAGAAATGTCTGAAATCTAAAAATTACATGATAGGAGTATTTAAATTATAATTTTAAAGTATTATAATTCTAATCCATTGTTTCATTTTTTTACGTATTGTCATTAAATGTAAAGTATATTTATTCAGCTTCAATAGCAACATAATATAAATATGGGAAGTATTTGAAAAGATAACTGTGTCGCAGTGTAATCAGGTTCTTAGATAGGATAGATGGTGTATATGATTAGGTATTGCATAACGTCTATTACGTATCATAATTGCTTGCTTTTTGGGGGGCCAACTAACTGCCCTGGGGAATACATTTTGCACTTGAAAAGCACTGAGTACCTCTGACCTAGGATTAAAGATCTAGGATCTAGACGCTCTCCTCCTTACTGGCGCTGCTGCTGCCCCAGAATCGATCGAAACGGTCGCGTGCCTTCTCCAGGACCTCGGCGGCAGTTGTCCGGGCGGTGGAGGCTGTGCCCGTTGATGATGAGGACGACATGGCCGGATCCGGCTGCTGGGATGTCTGATCCTGGACGGCTGTGCAACGCACCGCTCCGCCCGGCTGGCCGGTGGGCGTGGCATGGGGCGTCAGAGTTTTGCCATAGATCGCGGCACTGGTGGTCGGACTGCAGGACTTCCAGGCTGGCGGGATGGCAGTGGTCGATATTGGGTAGGGGGAGGGGGAGATAGTTTTGGAAATAGTGTTCGTTATGTTACGCAAGGATCTACGGTATCGGGTACGCTATGTGATTGCATTGGCTTGCACAATTTGCTTTTGGCTTGATACAGAGAGAGGGGAACTTTGCTTTATATTTACGCTTATCGAGATTGGCTTGATTTGCTGGTGTGGATTTTGGTTTTTGGTTTTGGATTTGAAGAAGTTGGAGTTTGGCTAACGATGATTCGATTTTTTTTTTGTTTTGATGATGCTTGTGAGTAGCGATACATACATATACATATACATATATTTAAATACGAGTTAATATATATAAATATTTGTAAAAGCGATTTGACTTTTTTGGGTTTTATCTTTTTTGGTTTTGGTTTTTCTGTTTTGTTTGTTGACTTCATTTGGTTTTGCTGATGCTTTTGGTATGGAAGTTTTGCGTTTTTTATTGAAGCGTGCTTAATGGCTTACCGTCCATTTTAGCCTGTTCGGTTAGTTGTGGCGGTGCCGATTGAGGCGGCGGTGGGGGCTTCTCCACCGGTGTCGACGCTTTTATCTCGCTCTGAGGTCGGCTATAGTTCTCCCCTGTGGAAAATGTAATTAATTAATAGAACGTAATCACGGATTAAGACAGTAATAAACTTCATAGGCCTGTTAGATATATTTTTAGGGTAATAACTAATTGGTTTTTCAGTAGATACTTTTCCTATGAAGTGCACTACCATCTTAGATTTACTTTACCATCTTTGACATTCTGCGTGACCGTGAAGGTTTTGCCAGTGTCTAGGGGCACCGTCCAGTTGACTGGATCGGGAGAGCGCATTATGATCTGTTCCGGGGACTTGACCCGGGTCGGTTCTGGTGGGGACTTCACCAGGGGCTCCTCCGGAACTTCCGGCACTGGAGGCTGGGGACTGCAGCTGGAAATGGAAATTGCAGTCTCACGACCATCCTCGCCATCGTCTGTTGGTTGGGAAAATATCCAAGAATAATTATAAATGATAGTTCGAATCAGTTGGGGGACTATGCGTTATGGAATTAACTTGATTATAGGCGCATTTTATGTTTGAGTTATTTCATTATGCTGCCGCAGCTGTTGATCTTCATAAATATATTTTTTGGATGTTTCCTTTTTTCGGTAAGCAAATTTTGTGTTTGAGTTTTACTGGTTAGTAGTTGTAACATAAAATAGAAAATAAAAACATTTGTAGTTTTAACTTAGTTTGGGAACCAAAAAATTTAAGGAAACTCAGTGAACTAAGGTATATTAAGCCAGAAGCTTAAAAGGCAACAAATTGTTAGTAAAACCAAAATGAATTTTCATATTTTTTTCATATTTCTTTAAAGTTTTATAAAGCGCACAACATGAGAAACAGCATGCCACAAATACACAAACAGACACGCAACATTGAAATGCGAAGAGGAGTAAAAAAAACTAATAATACTTTTATGTTTGAATAAGTTGTTATTGCTGTAAGAAAATCTGGTGTGGCATTGAATGGTGATTGTTTTATTTTTTTTTTTTTTTGGCAGGCAACAACGAAGGCGTCGACGACAGCTGGCAAAGATCAGTAAGTTGATACCTGGCACTAGAAATCCGTTCAGAAAGTTACAAAACACTACTCCTTGTGAGTATTATAAATAATTAAAGTTTAATTAAGTAACAAAAATATTCCTAAGTATGTATGAATGTGAGATAAATATTTGATTTTTCTCTCATATTGTTAAGCTAACCCCCAACTATAATCCTCCAACATTTCTATAAGTAAATTATTAATTGTTCTTATCCCAGAACTTTAATTACTTAGTGTCTGTGTTCTAGTGTCTTCTTGTAGATTATGTTTGAAAATAAAAGTAAACACACTAGGATAGAAATGCTAAAAACTTTACATATATACACAGAAAATAACAAATTATGGTATTTAGAATGTACAAAGAAGTGATTCAGAGCTATGGAACACAACGAAAATCTACAAATTATGAGACGAACATGAAAAGGTTTTCAATTACAATTGCTTATACAGATACATGAATATAGACACACGGTTGGTATACAACATTTACATACACTGATTACAACAACAACTAACATTTAATAACAACGCATTTTGCTCTTTGGGTGTACCCACAATTTCCAGCAATTAAGAATTTGGAATTTCATTTCTCTGGTTGATTTTTATATTGTCATTTTTGGGACAGAGTGCCAGTGGAATAACTATATTTTCGTTACCAATCAAACTACAATTTTGTACAATTTCTAGGACCAATCTAACAATACACATAATTCCACATGGCTTTGTCATATTAAAAAAGAAAACACACACAAAAGTGGATCTAATCGATGATGCCAATTGGTAAATCATAAGCTTAATCACTTTTCACTAATTGTGGACAAACAGTCTTGACCAAGGTGTAAAATGCTTAATTATTAATAGCGTTTTATGATTTTTTTTTTTGATAGTTTTTGATTTTACAAAAGTTGCAACACAAACATTTCGCGCATCAGATGTCATTTTACAGCATTTTCCGTGTATATTTTACTTGTTTTTTAGTGGGTTTTTTATTTTGTTTAGTTTGGGTTTATTGAAGAGATTTGTATTTTTTTTTTTCAAGTTTTCGGTGAAACTTTACTCACTTTCAGCCAATTTTCTATCCTGACCTGGTACCGTTAGCCGTTTGATGTTGATGGTTGCAGGCCGGGTTGGGATTTGAGCCGATGGTGCTGCCGCTGTTGCTGCTGCAACATCGTGTTGTTGTTGCTGTTGCGGTTGCTGTTGTTGTTGTTGTAGCTTTTGCTGTTGTAGTTGTTGTTGCTTTTGCTTATTCTGCAGATGCTTGACACTATTTGCTTGACTACCGCTACCAGCACCAACATGACTACCATTGCCAATGCAACTACTATTCGATCTATCTTTGTCTTTCTTACGCATTTGCTGTTGCTGTTGCTGCTGTTGTTGGCCAGATGTTGCCGATGTTTTTTGCATTTTGCCGCTGCCAATCTTGGCCTGTGATGATTGTGATTGATTAGCATGAGGCTGATTAGCGTTAAATGCTGATTTAGCTGTTGCTGCTGCTGTTGCTGCGGTTGCCGCTCGGGTTGCTGCTGCAGTTGCTGTCGGCGCTGAGGCTACTCTACCGTTGGGCGGTGGCAGGGAACTACTTTTAATGCGGGATTGGAATGTTGTGGATAGGGTGGCTATAAGAACGTAAGCAGTTTTCGGTTTTGTTTGTTTTTTACGATGATTTTTTGGTTGTCGTTTTTATCAACATTTTTTTAAACATTTTTTTTGTACCGAAAACAAAACGCACGTGAAAAAAAATTATTAAATGTATTTTCAGTAAAAATGTTTTATTTGGTTTGTGACGAGTCGAGAATGCAATCAAAGCAAAATCTTAAAAATGTCCCAAAGGAAAAGTTCGAAAAACGGAACAGATTAATAAATCAAACATGAAATGCTATTAGTGGCGTTCCAACTTTCTTTGGGTTAGTTGTGTTAACAGTTTTAAGGAGTTAGTCTACTTAAATCAAGTTAGAGGAGGTATCGTTAATTTGCAGCTATTTGGAAGTAGAACACAATGTTGGCTTTTTGACCCTAAAATTTGGGAACAAGACTTACAGGAATTAAAGAAACCCCAAAGAGGAATTTAGTACATTAAATGTGTGGTTGGTTAGCTTTTATTTTATAAACATATGTTACAGATATCCAGGATATAAGCCAACAAAGTTACACTTAAAGTTAGTAGGAGGATAACCAAATACAAATTAAAACTCGAACGGATTAGGCACAACACCGAACTGGAATTGTTAGTATTACTATTACTTACTTACAGATAAGTTTAATTGGTTTATTGTTTTAGTTGGTTTTGTTAATTAGTTATTGAATTTTGTTAGTAACGGTTCACTCAACATGCTAAACTATAGATTGTTATGTAGTACTCGAAAGACCAATCAAACGCTGCATTACAGAGAGAACAGTGATCGAAACTCAAGTGGTTAACGAATGATAGTAATTAACTAAAAATGTAACTGCATGACCAGAGACTAAACTAACGAATATTTCAAACCCAAAAGTAATTTGTTAATCAACTATGTATGTTTGTACTAGTTTTATTAGACACTCAACTAGATGGTCGTTCGAAATACGTTTTTGGAATTGGTAGAAATTACAAACTGGAGGTGTGAGATCGGTAAACTAACTAAAACTAAACTAGAAACAAATTCGGCAAATAATATATAAATTAGGGCAACGGAAAGGGGAATCGGAACGCAATCTAATTAATTTATACATGATATATGCAAACTAGGACTAAATAAATAAGGAAATGAACGAACGCATCGTATCGTTCCATTAACTGAACAGAGTCGAGTTTTTGGACATTTGGCTGGGGGATTTTTTTGGTTTTTGCCTCCTCTGAAATGATTACTTACATGGGCGTGCCTTGCGTTCGCCTCCGCTTCCGCTTCCGGTTGTCGGCGTCTTTTTACGGCTGCTGGGCGCCTGACTCGCCGACCGGATCTGGCGCTTCGGTGACTCATTCTCGGCAACGCCCGGACCCGCCGATTGCGACCGGTCTGAACAGCACGCACATGGACACGTTTTTCGGATGATGGAGGATGGTTCGTATTTTCGTTTTTGCATTTCATTTGTTTCATTATTGTTTTTTTTTTCGATTTTTCGATTTTTCGATTTTGTTGTATGGTTGGTTGGTGGTGGTGGCGGTTTGATTGATGATAAAAGTACGATTTGTATGTTTTAATTTAAATTCGCATTTAGCTAGAGAATTTCATATTTCGATGTGTTGTTGGGCTGGGTAAGAGCCCATTCTACGGGTGGTTTGGGTGTGGGTGTTTCAGGTGAATTATAGTACAAGATTTCGTGGTAATGCGCTACAAATTAAGCTTCTCCTGTACACCTCGAAATGAAAATGTTTCATTATAACCCTGCCATAATTCAAAAGCTCTAGTCATCCGAAAGACTAAGTTATCTAGAGAAACGTTTTATAAAAACGACTTTAAATCCACAGATTCCACAGAAAAGAACTTAAAGTTCCGGTTATAAGTTCCGTATTACCGATTTGGTTTTAAAAAAAAAACACTTGTAGATCGTTTTCATTTCCTTTTGAAAAATAAACTGCTGATTACAAAAATACCAAAACTAAAAAGCTTCCTGTTTTTTATTAAACCCCAGATTTTCAAGCAAATTGTACACCCAAAATATAGAAACAAAGTCAGCCTTATAACAGATTAGCCCTTCAATAGCAATATACAGCCACTTTTCCAACTTATTTACAACCTAGCACACTCAAACATCCATTGTCCTAATACACGAAATGATATATATAAAGCCACGTTGATGGATGATTATGTTGGATAATCCTTCTAAGTGTCCACCTCCATAAATGAATCTTAGCCTATAATGCCTTGAGGAGACAGACTGAAAATAAGGTTTCGCTACAAAACGTGTCTTAAATGTATACCTAGAAATGCAACTTTCAATCGATTTCAAAAGGCAAACCCTCGATAAAAAAAGATGGACAAATGTAAGTAACAAGAAACTACATTAGGATTGTGCACAAATCTCATAGCCCAACAAGTCTTCGGTGCACTTGACAAGGATGAAAATCGAGTCGATACTCCTTCGACTCTCTGAGGGGAAAATGCAAATCAAACGGTTGAAGCAGTTGAGCAAACTATGGCAAAACGGAAATCATACGAAACCAAATCAAGTCATTGATAACGGGGCGTATACTTATTGTTGGAGCGTGTACAATTTGTATGTTCTGTTCCCGAACTTGTAACTCGATTGGTGAGTGCAGTTTTTGTGTACTTGTGTCATTGTTGCTTAGGAATAAATTTGCTATTCGGATATGGTTAACTTTGGAATTGAATTCGTTGTATACATATGCATTCGTTCTGTGTATCTTCTGGCTTAAGATTGGGATATATAAGCTGGGATTTACTCACTTTTGAGGACCTTCTTGGGGCTACCCTTCTGAGGACTGCCCTTCTGGGGCGATCCGTGCCTGGATAAGGCCGTTTTCTTAGGGCTTCCTCGCTGAGATTCCGATTCCCGTTTGGTAATGGCCGGCATCAGTTTCTCACGCGTGGGCGAGGGCAATAAGGCGCCCTCCTCCACATCTGGTAAATATCAGAGAATTAACTTAACTTTTTCCTTTATATATCCCAAGTACATACCGGGACCCGTGGTGCGTTCAAGGTGATGACGTATATTGCTAAAGCGTGCTGGCAGTGCTGAAATCTCATCCTTATTATCAATCAAAAAGGCCTGGCCAGGAATACGTGGCTTCTGGGCCTTCTGCAATGGCGTGGATTTCTTATTGTTTTCCTGTTCCTTCTCCTCCTTTGTAATGGGTCTAATAGTAAACAAGAAATAACATTGATTATTGCTAATACTTAAGACTTATTACTACTTAATGTTACCTATGAACAGACGAAGCTAGGGAAAGTGCTGAAAGTGAGCTGCGCTTTGAAACCTGATCCCACAGATCCTTCTGTTTCTTATACAGTTCCGGATCAATTTCTATGCCCCAGCCGCGGCACTGGAAGATAAGGAATATTTTTAGTTTATATATAGTTATTGTTACTATTAAAAACTCACCTTGTACTCGTCAGCCTTTTTGCGCAGCTCAACCATCTCCTTGAACCACAGATCCAAATTCGGTTTAGAGTGCGGCGGGGCGGAGCCGTTCATGACCACCACCTGGCCGGTTTCGCCGGTCTGCTGCCGGTTGTCCACCTCATCCTTGAGAGCTGCGGCGGCTACAGCAGCATCAGCGAAGCCAAAATTCTCCTTTTTCGTGATGAAATGGTTCAGGCGCTCCTGGTCGATGGCCTGCGAGAAGGGACGCGAGGTGGTCTTGCGCTCCACAATGGTCACTTGTCTGCAAGGATCGAGGGAAACATTAGCTAACGAATATATAACAACTTGATTCTGAGAGATTTTGATTGACAAAGGGAACTGCTGTGCATCTCGATGGCTGCAGCATGCAACACTTGCAACATGCAGGTGCGGATGAATGTGGATTCTGATAGTTATTAGAGATATATTTTTTAGGTGATGCTGCACTTTCGGGTGGGCTAATGAAGGACTTCACTGAATGAGAATGGCAGAAGCTATGAGCAAATCGGTTTGAGGGCAAGGTTAATCAAATTTTCATACTTCTCGTGCGTTTTTCTATCATCCGTATCGCTAACCAAGGGCTCCAACTCATGTAGAGTAGCTGAAAGCACACAGATACGAAATTTAATGCTGCAATCCAACTAGATCGATAGCTTTATACAGATTCTGGCTGATGTCTGGCATCAGTGGGTACATTAAGATAAGGGAAAGTATAATTTAATTGTAGAAAATGCAGTAGGAAACTAAAGGCCAAAAGGGTGGAAACAAGGTTAGGTTTTCATTTTTGCAAAGTGTCTCGATTACGCTAAATTTCAACTCAGGGTTTTGAAGGAGAAGGTGAGTTCATATTATTATTGTACAGCAAATAAATGAGCCGGAAGCAGCGCTTTGGTGGGTGTGGTTGGTTGTGATTGGGTGGTTAGTTCGTGGGTGGGTGGTGGTCAGCTCTTAATCAGGTGATAGAAATGCTAAATGAAAACTTCAAATGAAAATCAATTTGTGTTTTTGGCATTGAGTTCGGAACCGAAAATAATGTTGAATGCTCTGGTTGAAGCGTGTTTGGTATGGTTTCCTGGTTTGTTTTTCTGGGGATATGTTTGAACAATTTTGGGAAACTTTTGTTTGGAATATAGAACGAAATTCAAACCAATTGTTGTATTCTTTTCTTATATAAAACATGTGTTTACAATTCGAGTTGAATGCAGCGTTGGGTATTTCATATTAATCATATTGTTAGATAGTTTTTGGATATTTATTTTGTTATTTTTGTAAGCACTACGTCCAATATTTTTGTACACTATGGAAGCTCTTCGCTGGAAGCTCAAGGCGTCGCACAAGGGTTAAAGGCAAGACAAAAGCATTTTGCAATTGAAGCCACTAATTGCCACTGAGATGCAGATGCACTTAACGATTTAGCATATAAATAGAGGGATTAGAATTAGTTTTAAACTATTCGATTGTCTTTATTTTTGGTTGGGTGTTTCGTTTCCGTTTGCCTTACCTATGCGCTTTGCTTGAACTGTAAATTTTGTTAGTATTTGGAACGAAAACAATTATATAGTCAGTCATATTAACTGCCCACAACCTGAACTAATCCCACACTAAGCTGGCCAATTCACCTAGCCGATGATATGTGGACGATACAGATACAGTTTGAGACAGAGAGAGAGAGATAGAGTGTGACTGATTGATTAATGGTTGTCTGGTTTTAATGCATGATACTATAGTAATTTCGATTGGTTTGTCGTTTCACACATGCAACGAAACTAAGGCAACGTATGCAATAAGTCCTACGCTTCGATCGAAATGAAAACGGAATTTATCACACAACCTGCGGCCACAACATGCTCATACTACACTTGGCTATTTTCATCATTCATCAATTCGTCACGTAAAATTGCATTGACACAGCGCGTGTTAGTGGGTTTAGCACTCGGCAGATGGGTATGGGTATGGGCACGACCCGCGGGTTAGTCCCATCAATTTTTGATTGATCAACGCAATTTTACGCTAGGCAGTAAATGAAATGGTATTTTGTTTAGCACTAATAAACATTAAATTTAGTTCAACACTTACGTCAGCATTTGGCTAAAAAGATATTCTTGAATGTGTTTAACCTTTTTAGTTATTTTAATTTTTTTTTTTTTGGTTTTTGGAAAGGAATTTAGCATAATTTCGTTCTATATGAAATAGATTTGAAAGACAGTAAAAGTTTGCTAACTGCTTGAAATAAAAAGATAATCGTTAGTTTACAAAAGCGTTCAACGAAACATTGGCTTGTACGTACGGAAAGAAAAGGGAAATTATAGTATACAAACAATATGTTTCGAGATAATTATTCTAGGAAAAAAGATCTATCTTAGTTCTGAGCACTGTAGTATACATATTTATAAGTACGAGTACGGTTATATATATATATATATATAGGTAAGCGAAAAGTTACGACGACGTGTACATAAAAAACTTGATTTGGAATTCGATCGATTGCTTGGTGGCAAATTAGCATTTTTAATATGGCAGCGGTGAGTGGAGAGAAAATCGTTTAGGCTACGTTCATTTACCAACACTATTCAACACTTTTCTATTGATTTTTTGTTTTCTTGTTTTTGTTTTTGGCTCAATGCTGCTGCCACGGCACAAATTTTCATTTAAAAAATCTTGAAAAATAAACAAATCTCAACAGTTACGTAGGTTAGTAAACAAAATATTACGCAATCTGCCGTGAATTAGTTTGTTAGGTTGGTTAAGTAAAGAAACGATTAATTAAAAATCAAATATCAACTCATTTTAGTACGCTCGCTCATTTGGATTGTTAAAAAATTAGTTTTTTAGTATTACATATAGTAGTTGAAAGAAACTATGCGCTAGTAGGAAATGTTTCATTTGTTTCATAATAATTTTTTTTTTTTTTGTTAAGTATGTTAAATAAATGCTTAGCGACGACAATTTGTTGTCGCACCTTCTTTCTGATTTGTTGTACGTTTTTTATGCACCGTTGGCAAGCCGGCACCGCCACCGCCACCCATCATCGTGTGATGTGTGTGACCATTCTGGGCTTGGGTCAGACTCTGACTCTGGTTTTGGGTGTGACTGTGACTTTGGCCGCCGGACCGAAGGGCGCCCAGGGATATGGACTTTCTCGGATAATCGCCGGCAGCGGCCCTAGACGTCGCCTCGCCGCCGCCCTTAATCCGTCGGACAGTGGGCCAAACGAATTGCAGGCGATACTCAGTGCTCAATTTAGTGATGGTCTTTTTCAATAGCCCATTTGACTCACCCGCCTGCGAAAGAGAAGAGCAGAATCACACAACGAAAAAGGAATTTTTTGTTGGGTTTTTAGACAAAAAAGAGAAGGAGAAAAAGAGAACGAGAACGAGAACGAGAAAAGAAAGCATTGCAATGTCGCATTGAGTGTAAGGATAAGTTTAAATATTTAAATATTAATCATAGATTAGTTTAGTATTTGATATTTGTTCGGGTTTTAAGTTTTGGGGACGATCAGAGCACAGTTAACATAGAGAAGAAGAGACCGGGTTAGTCATAGGTGGAGAAACAGAGAACGAGAAAGAGAAGAAATACACACAATACAAGTATAAATTGTAAATTTTGAACATCTATTACTAATTGCTTTAAAATGTTAAATAAATGCCCCGAAAATCATTTAAAATACGTTAAATGGCTAGATATCTAAAAGTTATAAAATATAAAATAAAAGTGAGATGAAAGTCGAAACATTAGCAACAAGTTAGAAATGTTATCAAAGCCCCCGGTTTTGACTACAAAAACTATATTCTCGGCAGTAGTTGTTTCGATTAAATTGCCTTTTTACCAGTAATTATAATAACTAAGTAGTTCACTGATATACATTAATAAATGTGGTGTCAAAAGGTTCCACACAAAAGAGATTGATAAGTAAATAAATCTGTTTTAATACCTAATAATAACACTGCCCCAATAAGTATACTATAGAACATTAAAACCAAGCCAAATTACCTTAAAACAAATGTAAAGCCAACTTTAATCTGCCCTGATCTATGTTCTTTCACATTTAATTCACCCACACAGAGATACAAAACAGACAGAGGGAAACTAGCATAAAAACCCTTTTACATGCATTACAAATCACAGACACAATAGCCACAATCAGAAAGGCAAAAGATATACTAAGTATTGAAAGTATCAGAGGATATTACAAGTGTATGAATGGGCAACGAAAAATCGATATACAACTTATGCAAATGTTGAAGGGTTTTGCAGATTAAAATTGCACATTCAGGTCGAGTAGACGCCCGACTAACTGACATTCTGTCTGACAACTCAATGGTGCTCCGACGGTCCACAGACTTACTGCAAATGTACGGACACATGCAATCATGCTCATGTGAGTTAATGAAATTTTCCCATAGCCGCAAACTCGTCGGGACGAACTACAAATGTTCAACAGCATGTCCTGCACGGGGAAAATTGCCAATAAAAGGACCAGAAAAGTTACAGACAGTGCGACACGGGGCCTATGAGTTTCGCAAGGGGGCTGGGGGTGAATTTAGGGGCTGACTGATAGACAGCATCTACGCTAATAGAAATTGTTGCGCGCCATCAAGTTTCGGTCCAATGGTCCGAGGCGCGTTCTATCTCTGATCGGAAATGGGAGACAGCTTCTATCTCTGTGCAGATTTCTCCCAGCTTTATGTGGCGCCACCTACCGACGATTGACAATCGGACTATTGAGAATTGTTGAATTTATGGGTCTTCAATTTGCAAACTTTGCTTATAAGATTTTAGATGGAAATCTGCCTTGCTTGGCGTTTAACAGAGTTCTTTGTTTTTACTTCTCGCCCTTTCAAGCTCTTTAAAGTAGTAGCTAGTCTACTTGGACTATGAAATCTTGATTCATTAGAATACATCTATTTGGTCATAGCTTAAAATAATTTAAATAATCTAAAATCATGAAATCTTTTATATAAAAAAATAACATTTCAAACATCGCACTGGAAAAAATGCATCTTTATCTAAATCCTTAAAGGGCTGCTGTTTCTTAATCATTTTTCAGGTTTCCTTAGAGGTTTACTATCAACTAGATGTCACCTTTTTATCAAGCTTCTGATTTTAAATTAAGAAATTATTATGTGATTTTCACTACTACTCTTCCGTATGGCATACAACATCAAGATGATATTCAACCTCAAAGAGTCCCCCCAATAATATGTTAACTTATTTTACCATGCAATTGGGGACTTGAAAATCAGAAATACACATACATACAGACACCCAGGCACGCGAAAACGTAAGTATTGAATTTATTTGGTTAAGATATAGACAACAACTATTGAATTGGACACCCGAGTGCTCTGGCTGCCGTGCAGTGCCATCCATCTGACAATTGTGTACCTGTTTTCTTGTGGTTCCGTCGATCTCCGTTGCAATGGGATACGCACGTCCATTGGGCACGACGGGTGGTCCCTCCGATTTGCTGCGTCGCGAAGGCGTGGCGCCCCTCTCCTCCGACTGCAGATAACAAGAGAGAGAGAGAGAGGAGAAATGGTGGCATTAAAGATATACGGGCTTGTATAGTTAATTAGCTGGCCATTAATATTACGCATACGCCTTGTTGACGTGCGTCATGAGGTGAAGTCAATTAATTATGTATTGTCAGGCTGCTCACGATAGTATGTCAAAAGCACACTCTCACCGGCATACTTATTTGCAAACAGGTGAATTCAGGGCAGTGGCATAGAGGGGAATAATATGAAAGGGATAATTTAACGATTTTTCTTTAATATTCTTTATTTATGTAAAAACCTTTCTAAAAAGCCTTTAACATTATTTATTATACTCATTAATTATTGTTAATTGCTTGATTCAGTTATCCATTAACTCATTTTTATGAGCTTTTATAAGAATAAGATATAAAAATAGTTTAGAATCCGAAAATTACTTTTAAAACAGACTTCAAAATTAAATCATTAAAGATGTTTAACTATTATTTGTTATTTTTAAGTACAATTTCTGATTAAATATTACATATAATATATTTTTTTGAATATTATAATTTCTAATATAAATATTTAATATGAACCCAGAAAACCTAAACATCTGAATAGATGCCCCGGAGGCCCTCACTCCCCAAAAAGCGCACCATCTGCGCACGCCACTGATTTTCGCACACGTATCTCAATGTCCTTGCAACATGTGCCGCTGTGTGCCTCATTATTAATTAGTCTACCGTCGGAAAGGAGAGGCGGAAAATGAACTAGGAAAGGACCAGCCTCATAGGGAACTTTTGTGAACGGCTTTTGTGTATTTCCTGCGGCATTTGAGAGCGTCGACATTTTTATGAGGGCCGCGGCTTAAACGCATTAACCCTAATGCCAAACCTCCCGTAAAGGCAACGACTCTCATAAGCCCATAAATATACCATATTCCCATATACTTTTAAATGAAAACTTTATACTCTTTAAGCCTAATTAAACCAAACAATTTATGCTGAGTACTAAAAAGGTGTAAAATCAAATGCTTAACTTTTGGCGCGATTTTAATCGCTAATAAAAAGTACATCTAACTATTTAAAACCACATTGGAATGACTGAGAAAACATAGAAAAACATAGAGTATAATAAATAACGAAGATTCTTTTTTTATGTTTTGGAATGCCAGAATGCTTTTTATATTTCTCTCATGGTCCTCTTCAAATGTCAAAAGGGCATAAAGTTTGTGGTGCCATAAATTGAAAATACTGTTAGATGTGGAAAGCTAGCTAGGTCCTTACAATTTTTTAGCTCGTTCATGGAGATGTTGAAATGTACAACAATTTTGCATATTTACGAATGGACATAGTCCCGCCCACAACTACGTAAGTGCAAGCATATGAGCTTGGATTTGGTTTTATTTGCCACAAGGTTACGTGATTACATTACGCAAAAAATATGAGGATATATGTTACGTATTATAAATACAATGTAATGATTAAATTATCTTTAAAAAAACGAAAGAAAATTACTTTTAATTATACAAATTAGGGTTTTAAATAAATTCCGATTCACTTCCGTTCATTCAAACACCAAATGAGTTTTGATGCTTTATAAAACCTAATCTATTTTTCATAAGAGCCATCTGTAATATTCTTTTCTTCATTCAAAATTTAAATATTTAGTATTTAACTTGAACGTGTCGCCTTAGGGTAAGCTTGTCGTAGGCTTTGAGGATTCTTGAGTGACACTTACTCTCGCCAAACGATGTGCACTGGCATCTCGTCGTGCATCTGTATATTCCGATCCTATAATAAACTCGTGCGATTTATATGCTAATTCTGGACATTTTTTCCGTCGCGGCAATGGCGGCTCATTTGTTGGTCCTGCAGATGGGCAAAATCCAATCGAAAAAGCGTATCAGAACGAGATCAATAAATAAGTCCGTGACAATAAGGCGCAAGACAAATGTCCTTGCTACTCACCAACAAATTGACTTGGATTTGGGGCTGGCGCCCGTCGCACAACCTCTGGCCGCGAGTTTCCCGTAAATTCATGCCAACGATAAGTGCTCCGATACTCCGAGTGGAGCTGCTGGAAGGAAAGATAAAAGATGCCATTGCGTTAAGTCAAAAATCAGATGCACAGCGGAAAAAGTTATTGATGTATTAAAGATAGTTAAAGGTTTGGAAATTATTGGGAGGCATGGCCTTTATTCCATCCTCAAAACTATCCCATTTGCTAAAACGTAATAAAACGTTTCCTCATTGTTAATGCAAATATTAAATAAACTGGCAATTGCTTGTAATTTTTATAGTATATTAACAAAAGAATTTATTTGAACATTTTTTCTAGTTTTTCCTCCATTGATTAAGGGTTTCTCTTTAAGTTTTTCCTGTTAGCACAGACAATAGTTGCAATTTAACATGGATAATAATTACAGCCGAACGCATGACAAATACCACAATGAGACCAACAAATAGCTAACCACTTCCACATATGGCTTGGCCAGGCCACATGTAAATATTTTCATTTGCCAGGGCCAGACTTTTGGGCCCAGGGCTGTCGGCCGATTGGCCAGTTAGTCAAACAGTTTCATTCCGGGCTCTTGGCCAAATTGCGGTTTGTCGCATTTCAATGCGGCAATACGTCCATGTCCACCCACTTTCTCCATTGCAACTGCAGCCATTTGATAATTGCAACAATGGCCAAAGAAAAATCCATATTAATGGCCTGTTTTCTACTGCAACAGTTACTCTTACTGCCACTTTGGCAGTTACTGTTTGTGTTATTTTGCGACTTATTTTATGGCCACGACAGCGCGTATCGATCTAAGCCCAGAACAGACTTGGACATTTCGAGCAGAAGTCGTTGCATGTGAGCTGTAAATTGGGTTAAGCTCTGCCAAACACAAACTGGCTAAGACAGCTGCAGCGACAGTCCTGGCCAACAGACCAGGACACATTCTCGTGAAGCAAGCAGCCAAGTCACTCGATTTAATTATGGCCCAACTTAGCAGTTCACCCTGCCGTTCCTGTTCCTTCCAAGAATTTACCAGTGTCTACCTGGGCTTAACTTTCATTGTCTCGACGTCGTTTCCTGCTCCACTTTGCTACAATGGAATAATTGCCGGCTGGCACGCAATGTCAAAAGACAGTAAACATTATATTAATTATTTATAGTAACCATTTCCTTGGTTTAATTTTAATTTTTAAATACCTAAACGGGGTTGGAAACAAAGTCATTCAATTAATTATAAAGAAAAGGGCAATTTATCTTTTTCTTTATTGTTTTAACAGTTGATTTAAGAGACATTATATATAAATCTTTTTGAAATTGAGAGGAGGAAGCTAAAAACTCTCAACTTAATCTTAAAAGGACTTTTTGACTTGAATGAGTTTGACTCAACAGAACTTTTTTCATTTTTTTCCTGAAAAAACTCCCTTTTTATGAGCATTATAAATCCAATTTGCTGTATCTCTGAGATAATCGCTCACGCACATCAACAAAGCACTTAATAAATTAAGCCGCAATAGCTCTCGCATCCCCTATTTCATCCAGAGAACGGGGTGTACCCTTAACCGTTAGCCAAACAATGACCCCAGGAGCAATTAACCCAATTGCTGGCAGACCCCTTCAGTCTAGACACACTCCAATATCCGGCAGCGTTTTACACCAATTAAGAGGAGCTGTGGCAAATCATTCCTCGGCAATCAATAAAGCTCACTTGGCCGGAAAGGATCGACTGCCACGCCTTCTGCATAGCAATACCTCGACGGCACGCACCTTTTGCATAATTTAGCAGTAAGAACTCACTTTATTGGAGCCGCTAAAGGAAAGCTCGAGCCTACGTGGGTTCGTTTGTCATATGAATTGGCAGTTGATGTCAGGGGCGTCGCCTTCGCTAGCACTGCCAAAAGTGAGCGGGGAGGATGTGGTGCCCGCCACGTGGCAATGTTACACCTGAACATATTGTTAGAGTACATAACATATATATATATATATATAATATATTTACGACTCAGCCAACTTTCAGTACATATCCTGGGCTGCTGCATCCATTTATCATGTCATGTGAGAAGGTAAAAATGAAAAAAAAAAATATATATATGTTTCCAACTGATTTATGTGGTGGTTCAATTGCGGTCACCAAATGCAGCCGCACCCCAGCATAAATATTTAAATATTATGTATCCGGTTTTTTTTTCGAGAGTACATTAAATATTAATGTCATATGAAAGTTTAAATATTGTGCGGCTTTTGGGGCCAGTGAAGGAGAATATGTATAGTTTGGGGAAATCATTTTGCTTTAAATTGTCAGCATTCAGGCGAGAGAGACGGCAATCCCTCAGCTGGGAGACACTTAGTCGTCCTTCTGTCCGGGTCCCTCCCTGTGCAGTGATGTTGAAATCCTGATAAGCCTGCTGACATCTCAACTATCCCCCAGCTGACAGATGGGCGGGCCAGTTGGTTGCCAGAGTAGGTACTTTTAATTAAAATTTTAAACGCTGACGAGTTTACGGCTTAAAGGCGTCCAACCGGTGGGACCAAGTGATTTTTAATGGAGTTTTCAAGAGTTTTCAAGAGTTTAGTTCCATTTATTTGTCATCAAAACTTGGCACATAGATCAATTCCCAATTTGTGATGTCCCTAACTATCCTATAAATTAAATGTCCACGTTGCAGACATATTTCTTGTATAGGTTTTCCCATATCCGATGCACATACTGGTGATAAATTTATGGCTTATGGGTGGAAATTCAGTATTTTTCGTAGCATACTTGCAGGAGTCAGTTGCACCATAATCTACACACACACACACACACAAACGTCTCTGACCGTTCAAGTGTGTTTGTCTGCGTTAGGGGTTGGGAGAAATTCGTGTGCGTGTTTAATCTACCCGAAGGGACCTTTCAAGTTTTATGCGGGGAAAACAAGCAAAATGACACCTCGAAGCATAGTTATCGCCTCCGAGATCCTTGTTTTGCGGTCTCATATGTTTGTGTGTGTGTATTGGCGTAGTCCTTTGAAGTGCCAACCACATTTCTGGGGAACAAGAAAATGTCTTTGTCCAACGCTATTTTGGGGGTGAGGTTGGAAAGTTTGTTTCATATTCTGCAGAAGACCGGTGAATGGCACAGGAAATAGCAGAATTAGCGGTTGAAAAGTTTTAATTTTTTATTTTCATGACTTTTCTAATTAAAATACTTAAAAGTATGGTTTTCATTCTAATTCTAAGCATGTTTGAAAAATCCATTTATCTAAATATATTTTACCTTTGCCTTCTTATTATTTTTCAAACTATCGGATTTAATTAATTTAAAAATATCCGTTTTTATTTATTTAATTAAATCATTCTTTCATAGCCTTACCAAAAATCCATCTAAATTTGCCACAAAGTGTTGCACAAACATATTGCACTTTGCATAACAAAAGCTGTTAACAAATATTTAGCTAGAGCTATGCAAATTGTTATCTTATCGGTAAACTGCAGTTTTTTATAAAACTTACTTTCTTGTTTATTCAGTTTTGCTACTTTTGCCGCAGCCCTCGACTTGTTTGGAAAGTTTTTTCATTTACTTTTTGTTTACGATGCATTTTTGCCATTTGACACCATTTTGTCTGGCACAGACAACAGCCGCATACACACGGCTGCTTTTATGGTTTCCGCCGGCCAAGCCGAGCCCACAAAGCACCTGGCCAGGTGGGTTGTGCACCCCAGGTGGCTTAGCCACAGCCGGACTCCGGCCAGCCCAACCCCTACAACCTCCATTTTTCAACGGTGCGTGCCTTTGTGCCACTGTGGCTTAGTTTGCTCGATTGCTCAACTAACTTGGCCTGTGGGATGTTTGCTGCCATTTTGCGTGGTCTGCGCCGGCAATTAATTCACTCAGCAATGGCCCCAGGCCTCCAGGAATGATGCTCCTGCCACAAATTTAATTGCCAGCTGCATTGAAATGAGACACGCCTCCCAAACAGCCCAACTGACTGACGCAGATTGACTGGCAGACAAGAGTCGGATAATGATTGCAATACATTTAAAAAAAATACTGGCAATGATGTTATTATACAAAAAAAGCAATGTTTCCAAAAATAAGTTCCCATGACTCAGTCATGTTTATGTGGAAATTTCTTTCCCTTTCTTTTTTGAAATAAAATTGCACTTTAAATTATTAAATCAATACTTGTTTTCAACCATCAATCATTATATCAAATTATAATAATATTAAGGAGACATTAAAAGGCCATATTTAATATTAATTTTGTGTGCAAAATAGCAGGCTTTGGGTTCTTAAATCTTTTTTTTTTGTACATAAGCATGTTTTTCCAGACTGTAAAAAATGGAACCACTGGAGGTCGTCGCCTAACGAGGCACATTGGCGAACCCAACCCAAACCAAAGCCAACCCAAGTCAACTCCGGGCTGGAGGTCACCTTCATTAAATTAAAGAACACTGCTCATTTGCATGGGCGCCTTCTTTCCGCTCTCTCAGTTGGCTTCGTCCATAAATATGGATTTAGTTTCCGTTCAAATAAAAGCAGAACAACCTGCGGACAACATTTAATTAGTGGGAATTAAATTTACAGCCGTAGCGAGGCTTTTAATAGTCTCCTTTAATAATATTATAAAAAAATATATAAATAGACAGTGCAGCTTGCATTGGGAACAAGAACTAGGATTTTAATGAGATGATTAAATTATGTAAATATTGTGAGCGTAAAAACTAAGCAAAAGTTTTGAATAAACTAAAGGTTTTATAGACTTATTATGTTTTTTTAATAAGCTTTGAAAAAACACATATGCTATTTTGGCTGAGAATTCAATCAGAAAAACTTTAATGTTAAATTTATTGTTACTTAATCCATTAACTTTTAACAAATTTCCAGAAGAATATCAACGATAAAAATAATTATACAACCTAAACAGTGTACTCATGTTTTGTACGAAGGTTGAAGTTGATTTCTATCAGATTTACATCAAACAGTGATCAGAAAATCATTTACAAAACTTACTTACTAAAAAATGCATAAAATAACTTTAAAAATTGTAAAAGTTACATCAGTAAAACTTAATTTTCTCCTAGTAAAACTC